AGAGAACGAGAAGTAGAGGAGCGGCTACAGAAGGAACAGGAGAAACTGCAGCGTCAGCTGGATGAGCCAAAACTAGAGCGACGGCCTCGGGAGAGGTGAGGTGATCTTCAATTATGAATTTCCCATCTTTGAGTTCAGTGGTTCTTAATGGAGACGTTACCTCTGTGTGGATGCTATTGGTTGTTATTTGTCAGCATTTAGTGTACATGGGCTGGAGCTGCTAAGTAGTCCGCAGTAGATGGACAGTTTTCATCCAGTGAAGAGTTGTTCCTCACAATTTTCAAAAGGCCTGTTGGACTTAACCTGCCACAAATACAAATTGGTACAGGAGTCAGCAAATTATGACCTGGGCCTGTTTTTATAAAGTTTACCTGGGCTTTTAAGAAAAATTTGTAAACCCTGCTTTCAGTATATAGAATAAATTCCCCACCATGGTAAGGTGAGTGAATTTACCTCTTTTCAAGTTACTGGGGATAAAGTAGAGAAATTGTTTTCACTTACGTACATGTAGAATGTAGATTATTTTTCATTTATTTTTACTTATGTGTATGTTGGTTATACTGTCTGAGTATTACTTCAGGATACTAAAAGAGTCATTACAAAATATTTATTGAAAAGGCAGCATTGACTAATATTGTAGAAACCTCCTTATGACAATGTTCTGAAAAACTAGGTCTAGATTTGAATGACTTGCAAAGTTGTGTTACCAGTAAAAGAAGGGTAGTGTTGTAGTTTGTGTAGGAGAATGTTCTTAACCCTAGCTGAAGTATTTAGAGTCAGTGTTTTAATGTATGCAGCTTTCAAATAGTATGAGGAAGATAGAGTGATGCACACACCTGCCCATAGGTAAAGCAAGTATGATAAAATATTAATAAGTGATGGTTCTTGATGGGTCAGCATGGGTCCAAGGTGGTCTTCACTGAGCTAGACACAATGTATTCTGTTAAATCTCTTGTACAGACACCCAAGCTGGCGAAGTGAAGAAACTCAGGAACGGGAACGGTCAAGGACAGGAAGTGAGTCATCACAGAGTGGGACCTCAACCACCTCTGGNTCAATGCCATTATCAATTAGTATAGTAATTGTTCATTAATGCTGGGATGTCAGTGCACCTATTCTAAAATTATGCCCCTCATGTTACAACATTTATATAAAATATTGTGTTATATATCTGACTTCTCAAAAAATATTAGTAAATGGCCACCATTTGTGTTCTGACTTTAGTGATACCATTGAAAAAGTAAGGTGTCCAGCCCAGAATTTTTTAAAATTATTTTTAGACAGCAAATCTAGCCTTTAACATCCCTTTGTCAGCACTGACTTTGTGCCAAATGCTTTATATAATCATCACTTATAATTCCCCAAGTAAGGAAGGTGGACCTAGACAACTAATAAAACACAGTGGAGTGACAGAAGTCATCAGAGCCATGTTGAAATTCCACTGCAGCAGTCCTTCCTCCTCCCTCAAACAAAAACACGAAATAAAAATGCTTCTTGTTTTTTCTACAAAACTTTTATTTTTAAAAGCATTGCTATTATCTGTTTACATGCAAGAAATCTAGAAATAATAGCTGACATTTATTGAGCATTTACTCTGCACCAACAATGAGCTGAGTTCTCATACAAGTATTATATAACCCTAAGAATTCTATCTGGTATAGGTACAGTTATCATCTCCACTTTACTGGTGAGAAAAGTGGAGGCTCAGGTGTGGGCCTCAAGACCTCCTTGACTCCTGACCTCATGCCATTCCTTCCCTTCCCCAAAAGCTGCACACCTGATTTTTTTCCCCTGATGATCTTACCTCCTACTCCCTCTAAGACCTGCTTCCCTGTCTCCCGAGTCACTACCACTACCCTTGTTCAGACTTCATTGCTACACCCACATTGCTAACAAATTTCCCTTCTCACTTCATTCTTCACGCTGGCCCAAATTGTCTTTCTGGAACAAGATTTAATTAGATTATTCTCCTCCTTTTAAAAACATTTCTAGTCTCCCCATGGTCTGAAAGATACCTTTGTCTGTACTTCTGACATACAAGGGCCTTCACTGTTCTTCCTACAGTTTGCCTCTTCAATGTTTCCCATCCCTTCCACATCTCCTCTGTTAGATGCATGCTCAGTTTTCAAGAATCTGGGGTGTTAGTACTTTGAAGCTTTTAACAGGCTTCACCAAACACTCTCAATCTTAAAACTTTCATATGGATAAGTCTCTTTTGTAGAACTTAGCATACTGTATTCTTTTTAACTTTGATCCTCCCACTAAATTGGGCTTCTTCCAGACACGAACTAAAAACTCCCCAACACTTGTATTCTTGGCCTTAGCACAGTGTCTGAAAGAGAGGTACACAAGTTATTTACTGAGCAGGTAAATAAATAGAAATTATTAAAGGAAGAAGAAAAGGGGAAGAGCAGTAGAGTTGCTTCAATAATAATAGATTATGGCCCGCCCGAGTGGCACGATGGTTAAGAACTCACTTGGGACGCCAGAGGACCCCCGTTCGGAGCCCACATATGAGGGTCAGTGACACTGCCCTCTACAGCTAAGATGCTGAACAACAGCTCAACCTGGAGCTGGGCTGCTGTGAGTCGCAGGCGACGG